TTATAGCCAGTTGCCGATTATAAGCCCACCCCAACTTCTGTCAATATTCGTATTGTGAGAATCTGAGGAATGAATGCATTGAGCAGCATCAGGAGTACAAGTAGGAAACCCTAAAGTGTTGTACCCCATATTGACTACCCCACTACAGCCTAAACAGACTATAGCATATAAGTTCGACACACCCCCATAGGCAAAGTGGGGGAGAACAAGGGGTCACAAGACCAGTCAAGAGAAGCAAGGCAAGCCCAGGGTGGATCATAATGTCACCACACAATCTGAGCACAAGCACAAGGCCATAAGGCCAGTTCATATGGAGAGTTATATATCAAGAAGAACAAGCAAGGCAGTGATCTTAACCTAGCAAAGGTAAGCATGCATGTGCAGATATATGTAGATCACAGTACAAGCAGATTCAAGAGGTGAGCAAGTGAGGCCAAGTAGGCAAAAGACCTAGCAAAGTACAAAAGCGCTGATGATCACAAGGCGGAAGTGCCTTGGTAAAGATATCAGCAGTGTTGGCCTCAGAGGCCACGTAAGCAAGACGCAGCTAACCGCGCTGCTACAGCTCACGAGCAAGGAAGTAGCGAAGAGCAATGTGCTCCAGTCTGTGCTCCCGACACAAGGCCAGCATGGCCTTGTTGTCTACGTACAGAACTGGAGGAGAACGAGGCTGCTCTCCAAGGTCAGTCAGCAGGTAGGTGAGCCATCGTAGCTCCTGTGCAGCCATGGCCCCTGCGTAGATCTCGGCCTCACAACTGGAGCCGAGAAAAGAAGACGAGCGGGTAGACTGCCACAAGACAGAGCCGGAACCAAGGCTGAAGGTGTAACCCTGTGACGACCGCTGCGTAGCCTGGTCGTCAGCACAAGAAGCGTCTGGTTGACTTGTTCACACCTGCGAGTCAGCGGATGACCCACTGTACGTGTGCTCGGACGGGCCGACACTTGGCCACGTTTACCCGTCAGCCGGGGTCGAGCCTGTACGCTCTGATACCATGTGAAAATCTGAGAAATGAATGCATTTTGCAGCATGAGGAGTACAAGTAGGAAACCCTAAAGTGTTGTACCCCATATTGACTACCCCACTACAGCCGAAACAGACTATAGCATATAAGTTCGACACGTATAAGCGCACCCAATGAATTCTGGTTTTTCTTTGCAGCGAAATCGCCACTAACGCGCCTAAACCAATCGTCACAGACGTGCCTGACGAAATCCCCCCTAGCTCGGTTGGCAGAATTGCCACAGGTGCAGGCCCCCAGAAGTCAGATAAATTTGTCTGATTTTCATGAAAAACTCTGAGAATTCAGATTTTGTTTTCAAGTGAGCTCTGTTAAAATTAGAGATTTTAGGTCCCGAACTCTGTAATTTTCAGAGAAATTCTAAAGCTAACTTTGACGTTTCAGAGTTTTCCGGGAGCGTACTCTGATCACTCAGAGCACAAACGCGTACTGATTCCGTTTTCTGCTTGCGTTCTTGACTTGTGATTCGGTTCGGACTTCACGGGTCACAGCAGATTCGCCAAGTCAATGCAAAATCGGCTTGAAACAGCAAATCTGCACCTTACATAACAGATTTTTCACCCAATCATAGCAAAATTGCCCTGACAGAACAGATTTGTGCCGTCAGAGCACAAAAAATTCGACTAATCACCTTGAAACTTATCTTGACATTGCAGATTCGCCCTTTCACACCACAAAATTCGCCCTGACACAGAAATTCGCCCTGTCAGAGCATGTTCTCCTGAAAATCCCCCTAGTCTAGCATGTTTCGATGTGAGATGAAACATTGAATACATTTCAGATGAAACATTAGATACATTGATGTTTCAGACTTTTTTTCTAAGGCACTCTGAATTTTCAGCTTTTTTTATATATATACCGAATCTGTGGGTTTCATACTAAAATTATGTACTAGTCTGATGAATCAGACAGGCAAAAGACGAATCAGACAGGCAAAAGACGAATCTGATGGCCTGCACAGGAGGTGCACGTGCGCGAAATCTGCAATATTTGAGCAGGTGCGGACTGGGATTCTTGGCTGTACGACACATTCTCGGAACTTTTCAGCAGTGATCATCTTTGTGTTAGCATCGATATAAATCGCTAGGGTGAAATCTACATTCAAGTGTTATAAAATCATATTTCCATAAGTGTCATTTATTTAGCCCATGGGGTTATAAATTTTACCATATTATAAGCCCACCCACCATTTTTCCAGGTTTTTTTACACCCCCACCTGGAGGTATATCTGGGTGATGATGGTACCGAAGTTCAAATCGAGGGTAGTAATGCAGATTGCACTAATGGCAGGTGCCCTCTAGCCACAATTCGATACTCTCACAGGCTCCGAGGAGTTGCGAGAAACAAGCGAAGAAGGTTACATCTGATGCACGAAACAGAAAGTCCCTTTGTCCAACCAATATTGAACACCCAGCAGATAGCAAAAGGTATGCTGGAAAGGTGTACCGCAGAAACCAACGGAAACCAACCTTCCGATATTGGTTGTCACCAATCGCCAACCGGCATTGCTGGCAGATTGAATCTCACCCTTTTCCCTCTCGATAGCTCCATGACTACCCACAAGCTGCCAGCAACCTTCATTCTTCGTGCGATGCATTGAAACTGACGTCACTGGTGGATGGAGAGGAGCAGCACGAGAAGACAAGGGAGATATTAGGTTCGTTGCAAGAAACGAAAATTAGAAGCAGAGCCTCGAAACATTAGGTTTGACAAGGAAGACATTAGGTTCGATAAGGAAGACATTAGGTTCGACAAGGAAGATATTAGTGTCGACAGAAATGACTTTTGAGTTGACTCAAGAATCAGAGGTGGTACTGAGAGGCCTCTTGAAGCTGATGTGACTGGGGATTTTTTAAGGAGCGGCAACAAGAGAAGATCTGTCAGTAGTGGGTGCATTGAACGAGATGCCGCGGATGCCACTAGTGGGCGATAGGAGAAGCTAGAGGACATAAGGGATGTAAGAGGATGTGTGTCTGTGATGTTTTGCTAAGGAGGGATTTTGAAATGAGGGATATGGAATGGAGGTCCTCGAATGCCAGAAATGCGAACCACTGTGAGGAAAATGTGTGGTGGAGCATGGGACATGTGTGTTGGAGTATGAGATATGTGTGCTGGAGCACGAGATATGTGTGGTGGAGCATGAGATATGTGTGGTGGAGCATGAGATATGTGTGGTGGAGCATGAGATATGTGTGGTGGAGCATGAGATATGAGTGGTGGAGCATGAGATATGTGTGGCGGAGCATGAGATATGCGTGGTGGAGCAGGAGATATGTGTGGTGGAGCATGAGATATGTGTGGTGGAGCATGAGATATGTGTGGTGGAGCATGAGATATGTGTGGTGGAGCATGAGATATGCAAGCGGGGGTCTCACATGTTGCCGGGGTTTCAAAATCCAATCCTCAACATTGAGATACACTGGCATTATTAGGTTGAGGCCTCACAAGTAGAGGAGGTGGGCGAATTCACCAAAGGTTGATGGAATGAATCTGTTGAGCAGATTCTTTGTTTAGTTACTGCATGTTGGGAAGAGGGAAGGGAGGAAAGCGCATGCATGGAACGTAAGGAAGGAATGTGGATGGAACTCATGGTGCATAGCACTAGGAACTAGGCTACAATTATGGAACCGCGTGATAAAAGTTGAGCTTGGAGACGTCTCAAAGCTCAAAATTTATCAAGCGACTATACTAGAAGTGTGTCGAGTTACATTCGCGTGAACGTTAATCCAGCACCAGATTGAAAGTAAGGTGGAAGTCCTCCGCACCTCTATGCAACCCAAAGAAGCATTTATGTGAGAAGCAGTAATGTGCTTGAGGCACGGTAAGTGATCAATGACTGGTTGGTGTGGTGTGGTTGCTTATAGAGAGATGAGGCTGGTGAAGTTTCTCAGAGAGTCGGGAATGGAGCTATTGATATGTACAGATAAATGACTACAGAGAGATGAGGCCAATGCGGGTGCATACAGAGAGATGAGGCTGGTGAGGTTTCTCAAAGAGTCGGGAATGGAGCCATTGAGACGTACATATAAGTGACTACAGAGAGATGAGGCCAATGCGGGTGCATATAGAGAGATGGGATTGGTGAGGTTTCTCAGAGAGTCGGGAATGGAGCCATTGAGACATACAGATAAGTGACTACAGAGAGATGAGGCCAATGCGGGTGCATACAGAGAGACGAGATTGGTGAAGATTCCTAGAGAGTCGGGGATGGAGCCATTGATGGTGTTGCTGGCCAGATTTCTGGGGTTTCGGGCGTGGTGGGAAGGAGAGATGAGTATGGAAGGGAGTGAGAAGTAATGGGATGGCATGATGGGAGGGATTGATGAGAAGGGATGGGTGTGTGGGTGATGAGGAGGGATGAGTGTGTGGGTGATGAGAAGGGATGGGTGTGTGGGAGATGAGAGAATGAAAGTCTACAACAAGAAGAGTGGAGCCGGATGGCTAGAAATAATTGGGAATGAGGAGTGGAAGGAACGGGCTGGAGGATATTTGGTGCACCCAGGCCTGCCCGGCGCACCCAGGCCCGGAATGCCCAGGACCTGAATACCCCAGGCCCGGCGCATCCAGGTCCAGAATTCCCAGGACTAGGGCACCTAAGGTGGACGGTACCAGGTCAAACTGGCATTTGCAAGCCATTGGTGCTTATAGATAAGTGAGAGCTGTGAGTTGTTGCAGTCCCTGGGGCAGAGTGCCGTTGAGAGAGTTGGCGCTGAGATCACTGCAAGGCACGCAAGAGGGCAAGAGGTTGTGCAATTTGTGTCACAAGGAAGCGAGGAACGGAGTGATTGCACTACCACAACTCCTGGAGTTGAGGGCACAAGCGGTGGGCGATGTGAGTGGTGGGTGTGTTGGGTTGGGTGTACTGGGAATGATGGGAGAGATGTGTTGGGATTATTGGTGGGTGTCCTGGGACTGACATGTGGGAGAGGAGGGTGCTTCTATCAAGGCCCTCAGGCAAAGTGCCGTTCAGCTGGTTTCTGCTCAAGTCACTGCAGGTGGAAAGGGGGGAAGGCAGATAGACTTGAGAGATAAGAGGGAGGGGCACGACCACCTGGCAGTGCCCAAGATGAGGGTTTGGGAAACCAAGTAGGTGGAAGTGGACATGTTGAGGGGAATACAAATGAAAATGGGAAAGACTGATGTATAGTGAGGATGCAAATCACTATCGTGCTCTGATTAGTTCCTTCTCTACTCAGCAGTCAGTCTGGTTCACTTACAAACAAGCTTGGTCGCTGGAACAAACAGAGGAACACTTGGGAGTGTTCAAAACTGCTCACAGGTGCTGCAGCTGTTGAAGCTTCCTCAGCCCTTGAGAGAGAGTGCCTTGGAAGGCGTTCGCACTGAGGTCGCTGGGGAGTGGGGGGGGGGGGGGGGGGGGGGGAGGGGGGGGGTGACCGCCCTGTCCCGTGGGATGTGGGGCATGAGAACAAGGGTGACCGAATGGAACGAAATAGAGGGCGAGCGAGAGAGTCTGAGACGGCTGATAGTCTGAGTCCAACGTGCAAGACATGGGAATTCGAGCCACCCAAACCCAACAGGGAGCTGTGATGACAGTGCGAACAGGCAGCACCACTATGGCACGTGTGTGGCACTGGCCAATGGCATGGATGGTGAAGCATCTTTAAGTGAAGCATGGTGAACACAACCTAACAAAACGCTAAGAGGAAAACATGACCACGCATGTCCTCCGTTCCGTGCGCATAGCGATGGGGTCCAGAATGCCGCAGATAGAACCCCGCAGCAGACCACGGCAAGTCACCATGTCACTACTACCGTAATTGCCACCACTGTGCCTCACATTGCCACCGCCGTGCCTCACATTGCCACCGCCGTGCCTCACATTGCCACCGCCGTGCCTCACATTGCCACCACCGTGCCTCACATTGCCACCGCCGTGCCTCACATTGCCACCGCCGTGCCTCACAAAGCACGGGGACAGGGCATGCATGTGTGTGGGCTGGCCATGAACGGTAGGCGGAAGCGCATGCGGGCCGGAACGGAAGGGGACAAGAAAGGCGTGGTTCCCAAAGGCAAGGCATCAGAGGCAGCGCATCTCATTATGTGTGATTCTATCCACCAACAGCGAAGGCTGCGCATCCACCCTCATGCGTGCTCACAAACGTGCTGCCCTGCCCAGCCACCTTTGTGTCGACGTTTGAGTCGACTTTAAGGTCAGCCTGCTATCTACCCTTAGTCATCCTTACACAAAGCCTGTTTCCCTCATAACCTCTCTCAAGCCCCTAGCCTGACACGCTTTCTCCATTCACAAGACTTTCAAGCCACTCTGATCTATCATGCTTCCAACTCCCGAGCCTCTCAATCCTCATCGTGTGTCTCAAGCTTCTGACTCTCAAGCCTCCCAAGCGGCTGACTCACAGGCGCCTCAGCTGCGACAGCAGGCTAACAACGGCGGCGTGGTGCCCCATAGGCTGTTGGGACTCAGATCGCTGGTGGGAGGAGGAAGGTGGGGGGAGGGGGGGGGGGGGTGGGGGTGTGGAGGTGACAGTGGGAGGAGGAGGGCAGGGAAAGAGAAAGAGGGACGGTGCGAGGGGCGATTGGAGGGAGATGGAGTGTATGGGGTAGGGAGAGCAGTTGAGAGTGCGGTAGGGAAGGCTGCGAGGGAGGGGGAAAGGGAGATGGAAGCGGGGAGGCTATGAAACAGAGGATGGCAGAAGGGAAGAGAGGAAAGCCGGGAGGAGGAGAGGGAGGGAGCTGATGGAAGGAGAGAGAGAGAGAGTGGGGTCTTACAGGAGAGAGAGGGAGGTGAGGGCACTGAATGTGGAGGGGATGGAGCCACTTAGAGAGCAGTTCGCGAGGTTGCTGTTTTGGGACGAAACGCAGGGCATGGAGCAGAGAAGAAGGGGGATTAATGGAGGAAAAACGAGAATGGAAAGGGGACAGGGCGCGAAAGCTTGAAACTCTAGACGGCAGATGAGTGGTCATTATTGGGGAGGGACGATAGGTCCCTCAAGAGTTTAAAGTGTGCTAGTGGTGACGCTTGCAGGAGAGTGAGGGTTGTGAGATTGCCAATCTCCCTGGGAATGCTGCCATTCAATAGTGTGTTGCTCAGGTCACTGCTCATGAGGTACATGCCCCCGATATGGCATACCATGGCAAGGCATGGCACAACAAGCCATGCCGGACGTGTCATACCCATATGACATAACATCAAGTATCGCATGTGTTGTGTCTCAATGAACAAACAAGAAAGCGTCATTGAATGAGGCATGGTGAACACAACATGACAAAACGCTAACAGAGGAACATCACTATGCATGTCCTTGGTTCCTTGCACATGGCGATGGGTCCGGTTGCCGTAGATTGAAACCGGCAGCTGACCATGGCAAGTCACCATGTCACTACCAGTTGCCACCACCGTGCCTCACATTGCCACCACCGTGCCTCACATTGCCACCACCGTGCCTCACATTGCCACCACCGTGCCTCACATTGCAACCACCTTGCCATCGCTATCACAAGTCACCCCTTGCACTTGGCTGCAGTCCCCCCCTCCACTCCACCCAGTAGGCGCAACTCCCCATGCCCCCGCGCTGCCCGCCAGAGCTTGTGCTGTTGGAAGAGAGGGACGAAGGGAGGAGCACGGCACACACGGCGACACAAGTGAGTGTGGGACCAGGAGGGGAGGTGGGGAAAAGCAGCACCCCAGGCCGCAAGGTGATTGGTCAAGAGCATTCTAGTCTTGGATCTTCAGAAACGGCTGGGAAGTTGGAATAGCAGAACTGGAGGAGACTTGGGAGGAGAGCATTTGTTTGGCATGGCGAGAGAGGAGCTAATTAGCATGGGACAGAGCAGCTGCTTAGCATGGGAGGAAGAACCAGAGAGTTCATGATGCGAGCATGGATGCATGGCATGCGTAACGTGCGCATGGATGGATGCATGGAGATACCACTGTGAGTTAGAAAAGTGCGTAGCATTGCTCACACATCGCATCTCATGCCATCACGCATCCTATCACTGTCCTCAGTGCGGCGGATCACATTGCATACCATCCCATTTCCTCCATCAGTCCATCTTCACGCAACACCTTGCGGTGCATCCCATCCCAACACTTCCATCCGATCCCATCCTTTCCATTCCATCATCAAACTCTTTCCATCACGTCTCATCCTTTCCATATCATCCAATCCTCCTTCCCATCTCGTCCTTTCCATCCCATTCCATCCTTTCAAAATCATCCCTTCCTCTCCTTCCTCTCCCATCCATCCATCCCAACCCATGTTTTCCATTCCATCCCTTCCGTCCCATCACATTGTATCCTTTCCATACTATTATTCCAACCTTTCCATCCTGGCCCATCCCATCTTTTCCATACAATCATCCTTTCCATATCGTCCTATCGTTTCATCCCATAAGATCCTTCCATCATCTTTCCGTCCCACTCCATCCCATCCTTCGTCCCATCCCATCTTTCGAATCCCATCCTTCCATCCCAACCTTTCCGTCTCCCATTCCATCATTTCCATCCCATCCCATCCTTCCATCCCATCCCGTCTTTCCATCCCATCCTTTTCATTTCATTCCATCCTTTCCTATCCCATCCTTCCATCCCGCCCTTTGCATCCCATTCCATCCTTCCCGTTCCATTCCATCCTTCCATCCCATCCTTTCCATGTAACCCTCCGCCTCATGCAACGGCTTCCAGTAACACACGCCCATTCCACCGTGGAAAGACCCAGGCTTACGCCCCTTTGGTGCAGCGCGGCGTCACATTAGCCATGCTTGGCATGTGGCACGTCGGACAGTGCGCCGCCTTTACGGGAACACATGCATGGCGGCAGAAAGCATAGGGGTGTGCGTGAAGCACGGCAGCATCGGAGTCGCTCAGGACCATACCTGTCCGTGACCATGCGGGCCTGCTTATTCCCATTTCCGTTCCTGCGTTTCTTCCTGCTCTCTCGTGCACTTAGAATTTTCAGCTGCTAGTCTGTCATCGCGCCTGTGGGTTACTCGGTTGCCGACTATTCGACCAAGTCGGCACAAGTTGCTTTGACTTGGTCAGTACACATCAACGTCGACGTCTGCTGTTTTAGCTAAACATCGGTGCAAGCTCCTAACGTCTCGGCCCACCTAGCAAGTCGGCAACGCATGGCCAGAGCTCGCCCTAGAGCCCAACAGCCGCAACCCACCCCACCCCCCGCCGACTCAGTAGACGCCGACATCAAAGCGGACCTAGAACGTATCGAGGTCGAAGCCGAGTTAGACGCACTTGAGCGAGAATTCGAAGAAGACCGCCGCGCAACTCTTCGGTCGTACACCGCACCCGTGACTCAGTACCGTCTCTGGTATACCAACCTCCGCATCGCACACGGACGATGGTAGAGCAACATACGTGCTGCCACATGGCTGACGTCGACATGTCTGACGCTAGTCCATCGACCGACCACAGTCCGACATCTACCGAGGAAGAGACGCTCCCGTTACTCTACGATCTTAACAAGCTGACGCAGATTCCAGAAGAGGAGTTCACCAAGAACATTCTGTGAAATTAGAACAAGAATGAATGAACTATGAAACAGTTGGGTACAAGTACTAACCCTAATTGGGTTGTACCCCTAATGGGCTACCCCACTACAGCCTACACAAATGCATAAGCTATAATGTTCTGACACACTCCCATAGGCAAAGTGGGGGAGAACAAGGGGTCACAAGACCAGTCAAGCAAAGCAAAGCAAAGCAAGCTCAGGGTGGATCACAAAGTCACCACACATTCCGAGCACAAGTTCAAGGCCACAAGGCCAGTTCACATGCAGGAGTATATATATATAAAAGGCTAGACAAGCAAGAGCAGGTGGATATATATATGTAACAGTACAAGCAAGGTCAAGAGGTGAGCAAGTGAGGCAAGGAAGGTACAAGACCCAGCTGAGTACAGAAGCGCTTATGATCACAAGGCGCAAGTGCCTTGGTGAAGATATCAGCACTGTTGGCCTCAGAGGCCACGTACGCAAGTTGCAGCTGACCACGCTGCCATAACTCACGAGCAAGGAAGTAGCGGAGAGCAATGTGCTTTGTTCTGTGCTCCAGTCTCTGCTCTCGACACAAGGCCAGCATGGCCTTGTTGTCTACGTACAGAACTGGAGGAGAATGAGGCGGCTCTCCGAGGTCAGTCAGCAGGTAGGTGAGCCAGCGAAGCTCCTATGCAGCCATGGCTCCTGCGTAGATCTCAGCCTCACAACTGGAGCCGAGAACAGAAGACGAGCGGGTAGCCCGCCAAGAAACAGAGCCGGAACCAAGGTTGAAGGTGTAACCTTGTGACGACCGCTGCGTAGCCTGGTCGTCAGCCCAAGAAGCGTCTGCGTGCCCAGTGAGGACCAATGAACTCTGCCCTCCAAGCACAAGCACCATGCCCCACGTACTGCACAAGTAGCGCAACACCCTCTTCGCTGCAGCCATGTGCTCTGGTCGGTGTCTCCCAGGAGCAACATAGCGTGCCAAGATGCTAACAGGGTATGCAAGGTCTGGTCGTGTGCAGGTCATCAGGTACATGAGGCAGCCAACAAGCTCTGGGTACGGGCCACTCAACTCTACGGACTCATCCGAAGGCAGAGCTGAGAGCAAGTGGCGAGTAGGCAGAGGAGTGGCCTGAGGCGAGGAGTACGTGAAGCCGAAGCACTGAAGGACCTGCTGCACCATGTGTGACTGAGTCAGGGTAATGTTGCGGCGTGCTTTGTCCCGGGTGATCTGCAAGCCAAGGTAGCTGCGTAGTTCACCCAGGTCTGTGGATGTGTGTCTCTTCTGCAGCTCGGACTTCACGTGGGAGAGTCCAGCAGTGTCAGCTGTGGCAAAGACCAAGTCGTCGACGTACACGAGGATGTAGAACGGCGGCAAAGAAGTGTCGGTGCGCAGAAACAGCGACGGGTCGGCAGTAGAGGGAGCAAACCAAAGAGCCGCAAGCGTAGTCCTCAGTGTGTTGTGCCACTCACGCGGTACCTGGCGGAGACCGTAGACTGGCCGCTGGAGGCTCTACTGGGTGCCAGGAGAAAAAGACCCAGTTAAGCCAGGTGGGCGGCGCAGCCAGATCTCCTCGTGCAGGCTGCCCTGCAAGAAAGCAGTGCTGGAGTCAAGAGAGTGTAGCTCGTAGTCACGGTGAGCAGCTACGTGCAGCAGTACCCGAAGAGTGGTCATCTTCGGGGTGGGAGAGAAGGTCTGAAAGTAGTCAACTCCCTGCCGCTGACTGAAGCCACGAGCCACGTAACGCGCCTTGAAGACGGGCGGAGAACCTGGCGGCTGCTTCACCCTGAAAATCCACATGCCACTGACGATGTTCGCCCCACGCGGGGGAACCTCGTCAATATAGGTGCCTGTGGACTTCCAGGAAGCCATCTCTGCGTCCATTGCTGCGTGCCACTGAGAGGAGTAGGGTCCCTCTATCGCCTCCGCGTAAGAGCGCGGACTCGGGATGTCAAGTGCATCCGGGTCTCCCTCAGGGGTAAGCAGTACAGACACGAGATGAGGTAAAGCAGCAGCCAGACACTGGAACTCCTCCTGCCTGTCCTCAAGGACGTCCGTGCCAAGGGGCACACTCACCCCCGACGGACGGAGGATAGACAGACGTAGACTCAGTGACAAGACTAGCAGCGTAGTCTAGACGTCAGCGAGCAGCAAAGTCGACGAGCTCAGCAACAAGTGCAGAGGCAGCAGTGGACGCAAAGGAAGGGTCAGTGACGACAGTAGAAAGGAGACGCGTGACAGTAGGACTGGCAGTACGAAGAGAGTCCGACTCCGGGTCGGCAAGAGCAAGAAGAGAGGACTCAGGAGGAGAAGGCAAAGGGGCATGCAGAGGAGCAGTGGACGACCAGAGACATCCGGTGTGTGCCAGGGACAGGAGGAGGACGCTGACGCGAACCACGACCACTAGTGCGAGCAGGACGGACAGGCGACACAGGGCGAGACGGAGGCTCACGACGCTCAGCAAGACCTCCAGTAGGACCAGTGTAGGGAGAAGGAGCAGGCAGTGGGGAGGCCTCTGTAACTGTAGCTGTGACGGGACAAGCTATGGACACTCTAAGGGAGGAGGAGGACCAGTAGCAGGCGGGAGACCAGGAACCTGCTGAAGGAGCGGAACGAGGTACGGCCGAGGCCGCGCGGCGACTCCAGACACAGCAGGGACAGCACCAGCACCCCCAGCGGCAGCAACAGCGCCAGCAGCACCTCCAGCTCAAGTACCAACAGCAGCACCAGTAGCTCCCGCAGCAGGACCGCCTCCAGGACCGACAGCAGTAGCCTCAGCGCCAACACCTTCAGCAGCTCCAGCTCCAGTCGTACCCGCAGGCCTAGCAGATCCAGTACTCCCAGTACGAGCACCTCCGGGACTCACCAGCACCCTCAGCAGCCGAAGAACCTCTAGCTCCAGCAGCACGCCACTAGCGCCGGGCAACCCACTCGCGGAGCTCCGGTGCAGAGAGTGACTCTCGCCGAGACGAAGCACCCGGGGAACCTCCAGGCCCAGCACCACTAGACGCCACACGAACAGGCCCAGCTCCCTCAGGCTCCACACCCCCAGGCTCAGCACCACCAAACGTAGCACCCCCAGGCTCAGCACCCCCAGGCGTAACACCCCCAGGCTCAGCACCTCTAGGCTCAGCACCCCCAGGCTCAGCACCCCCAGGCTTAGCACCCCCAGGCTCAGCATCCCCAGTAGTAGCACCCTCAGGCTCAGCACCCCCGGCGTAGTACCCACACGCTCAGCACCCCCAGAGTCAGCACCCCCATGCTCAGCACCCTCAGCAGCACTAGAGTCACCAGTAACCTCGACAGGCTCGACTGCGTCTACCTGGGACACACCTGAAGGGGCAGGGGGTCTACCGGGGGGGGGACCTGGCACAAGGAAGAGCGGTGGCGGGGGGAGGGATGGAGTGCGGTAGGGGAAGAGGCGGTAGTAGGGGACCGACTCATCAAACGTGACGTCCTGGGAGGACAGAACACTGCGAGAGGTGGGGTGGTAGAACTGCCACCCGGGCGCGTCAGGGGGGAAGCCAAGGAAGACGGAAGGAGCAGCACGAGGGGACAGCTTGTCCGCAGACAAGTCGCGGACAAACGCCCGAGATCCCCAGACACGGAACGCATACGCATCGCCAACCTTCCCCGTCCACAGCAAAGCTGGGGAGGTCTCCGGCCTAGAGACCCTAGGCTGAAGGTTGATCTGATGCGCCGCGTACCGAACCGCAAACGGCCACAGAAAATGGGGGGCAGCCGCATGCATCACGGACGTACGAGCAACGTCCATGGCCATGCCAATGCGACGCTCAGCAATCCCATTTTGCTGTGGAGAGTCCGGAAGCGTGAAGGTCTGACGGATGCCTCGTGCACGACAGTAGGCTCGCAGAAGGCCAGAAGAGAACTCTCCGCCTTTTTCAGAGTGCAGACGCAGAACAGGAAAGTCCGAGCCGAAGCTCTGCCTGAGCTGGAGACGAGCTGCGCGGATCCACTCGATCAACACCTCAGTAACATCACCCTTGCTGCGCAAGGGGAAGACTGTGGTGTAACACGAGTAGTCGTCAACCACCAACAAGAAGTAGCGCTCGTGACCCTGTCTACAGACGCGGGCCGGGCCCCACACGTCCATGTAAAGAGTCTGCAGCGGGGCCTCTGTCGGAGGAAACTGGGAGGAGTGAAGGGCAGCCCGCTGCCGCCCCACGACACAGGGGACACAGGTAGGGCCAGGCCCCAGAGGAAGGGGAGGGAGGGACCGGGGAAGACCAGAAACAAGGAGACAGGAGGCCATGCCTCTGAGACGAAGCAGAGAGGGGTGACCAAGGCGGTGGTGCCAGAGGAGAGTCTTGTTAGACAGGAGGCGACACGAGCAGGGGGCAGACTCAGGACCAGACCTGGACGCTGCAGCAAACACCTGACCCGACGCAGCTACCTGACAAGAAACAGGGACAGGAGGAGACGCAGTGGTCAGTGTGTACAGGCTCGACCCCGGCCGACGTGTAAACGTGGCCAAGTGTCGGCCCGTCCGAGCGTCCGTGCAGTGGGTCACTCGCTGGCTCGCAGGAGTGAACTGGTGAACTCCCCCATCCTGTAGGTCAGCACCACTCACCAAGTTCGTAGAGAACGAGGGGAGGTAAAGACCAGACAAGGTGCCAGAGGGAGCCGCCGGACATAGGAGAACAGTGGAGAAGTGAGCAAGGACTGCAACTGGCCGACCAAGCGGCGTGAGTGTGGTGCGGTCTCGAAAGAAGGAGCGAGAAGCCCCTGAGTCAAGGGTGAAGGTGAGGGAGGCCGAAGCCGGCGCACTACCTGAGAGAGCAGACTCACCAGCACCTTAGGACGCAGACGCACTAGCACCTAGAACAGCAGCCTTGCTAGCACCTATAGCAGCAGCCTCACCAGTACCCCGAGCAGCAGTCGCAATGCTCGGGTCGGGCGGGAAACACCGGTAACAGTCTCCCTCATCACTAATAGTCACAGCATACATGGCAGCAAGAATAGCATCAAAGTCAAGGTCAAAGACAGCTACTCCCGCCCTAGACAGCTCACCCCAGCGGGGGATCTCAGTGGCCTCCGGGAACTGGTGACCCCAGGCGTCCGTTAGGTGGCCAAAGCAGCGCTGGGTGGAGTGCGCACCCCCACACTGCTCACCCGCGCGGTCGCCGGTGCGTAGGACGTAGGTGCACGGACCAGCCCCCCCACCCCGCCGGCGTGCAGCGTACCACTCATGGAGCTGTTGAGGGGGAGGGATGTCACGAGTGCGCTGCTGCTGCTGCTGCTGGCGCTGACCACTACCGGAGCCGACCCTCTGCGCAGCGCCACCCCGACCAGCTCCACCTCCTCCACCACCGCCTCCTCCACAGCCGCCACCTCCGCTACCTCCGCTCCCACCCCCACCGCCGCCGCCTCCTCCGCCTCCACTGCCGCCACCTCAACCTCCACCCCCGCCGCCACCCCCACCGCCACCCCCACCCCCTCCGCCGCCTCCACCGCCGCCTCCACCGCCCCCGCTAGCTCCTCCAGCGCCCCTGCCCCCCTTGCCCTTGCCAGGGCGGCGCTTCCCGCTAGGGGTAGACGCCGCACCGACCGACTCCAGACCAACAGGGTCGTCCGCAGCAGCAGAGGCAACAGAGGGCAAAAGGGGGGAGGGGGAACACCCCTCAAAGATGGGGGTGCGAGGGTCACCACGAGAGGCTCCTACAGCTACTATGCTCTTCTCCGCTGCTAGGAGGGCCTTCTCGAGGAGGTCAACGGTGAGAGTGGTTGGGCGGAGGGCGTCAGGGAGACGGGCGACTATGTAGTAGAGGGTGATGTACAGGGGGGGGGAGGGGGTTCTTGGCGAGTGTCACTAGAGCGGAGGTGCGTAATGAGGTCAGTGACTGTGGGAAAGGCAGCAAGGTCAGGGAAGAGGTACGGTAGCATGAGGCGGCTCAGTGCAGCAGTAGCAGGGGAGGAATAGTGTGCAACTACAGCGTGGTACAAGGTCTGAGCACTCTTGTACTGGCTAAAGTGCGCACGCTCAGATTTAGGCAAGTGGCGACGCACAGCAAGACGTGCAGCAGCATCGCGCGTGGCCCACTGTGAGCGAACAGTGGCGTCAGCATTAGCAGCAGGGGCAGGAGAGGCACCAGAGGTGAGGTCAAAGAAGGAGAGACCGTCTGCCCTATCGCACTTTAAGAAAAGGTGCAGGTCATCTATCCAGACGTCAAAGTCAATGGCCCGACCCTCAGCGTCAAAAGCGAGGACACTAGGTGTAGCCATGAGAGCAGTAGACTAGCAGTGCAAACAGTAGGGTAAGGGCAGTGCAGTGACAAAGGCGCTGCTCTTACCGGACAGGGCGGCTCGGGCGGCTCGGTGGTGCGGGCGGCTCGGCTGCAGGGCGACTCAGCTGCTGGGTGGCTCGGCGGCTCGGCTGCTGGGCGGCTCGGCTGCTCGGCGGCTCGGCTGCTAGGCGGCTTGGCGGCTCGGCTGCTCGGCGGCTCGGCTGCTCGGCGGCTCCGTTGCTGGGCGGCTCGGCGGCGGCGGCTCCTGACTCAGGGACGGTGGTGGGGCCGGGTGGAGCGGCGGCGGGGCCGGGTGAGGCGGCGTCGGCGCCGGGAAGGGCGGCGCCGTGGTCGCAGGGATAGGCGACGGGGCCAGCCAAGGTAGCGCGGGGCCGGGAACGGCGGCGCCTTGGCCGTAGGAGTAGGCGCCGGGGCCGGGAAGGGCGGCACCGTGGCCGCAGAACCGCTAGGGTGGCGCAAGGGGCCGCAAGGGCGGTGCACGGTGGGCCGACGGGCGGCTCGAAGGGCCGCAAGGGCGGCACGTGGAGCCGACGAGCGGCGTAAGGGGCCGCTAGGGCGGCGTGAGGGTCGACGGGCGGCACAAGGGGCCGCTAGGGCGGCACGAAGGGTCGACGGGCGGTGCAAGGGGCCGCTAGGAGGGGGAGGGGTCGTGACGGTGGTTGAAGAGGCCGCGAGGGCGGCAGGAAGGGGCCGCGAGGGCGGCGCGACGCGACGAAGCCACGAGTGCGGCGGATCGGGGCCGCAAGGGCGGCGGATCGGGGCCGCGAGGGCGGCGCGACGCGGCTGTTAGGGCGGCGCGACGTGACGCGGCTGCTAGGGCAGCGCGACAGGGCCGCGAGGGGCCGCTAAGGGGCCGTGAGGGGCCGTGAGAGCGGCGCGACGGGTCCGCTAGGGGCCGTGAGAGGAGAGACCCACGGAGCGCGACTCGGGCAGGGACTGAGCGCGCTCCGGGCACGAAAAACTTTTCGAATCGGTGGGCCCTAGGAACTGTTCCCACGAGGGAACCTGCTCTATACCATGTGAAATTAGAACAAGAATTAATGAACTATGAAACAGTTGGGTACAAGTACTAACCCTAATTGGGTTGTACCCCTAATGGGCTACCCCACTACAGCCTACACAAATGCATAAACTATAATGTTCTGACACATTCCCCCACTGCCGATTGGGAAGTTTAACAAGAAGAAAAAACAAAATCCGACGCAAAATGGACAGCCAGGAACTTCGTCGGCACCGGCCGGCTCTGGAAACCAGGTTGAGGTTGAGGAGGAGGAGGATGGGGAGGAGGAGGAGGAGGAAAGCGATGACGAAAATGACGAGCGTCCACCGCGTAGCACTAATCAGTGCACCTTGGAAGAATGACTCAGGCGGGAACTTGAATACATAGATAATTTGCTCGAACAGGACGAGGATCAGGACCAAGAGAACTTGTCAGTGCCGCGCGAACAGTGGAGGGCGGCAGACTTCGTCGAGGAAGACATGGTTTACGCGTCCATCGACGTGCTCGTCATGGACGCCCTACGCCACCTGCAGATCGTGGACAGGAACAGCACGCTGAGGCTGTACACCTCGTGGATCTATCACTACAAGAGGTGGGCGGCAAAGATGTTGATGCAAATTCGCAGCAAGCTTCCGCAGGAGCACATGCTTAAGCACATCGATGAGATGGGGCACTACATCCGGGTCAACAAGAAGAAAAACAGGGACCAAGAGGCCGATGTCCCCCGGGCGTACGTGTGGCTGCACGGCCCTAGGGTCACCAAGTCCCGGCTTCGCGCATACGTGAAGTACATGGTTCAGGAGTTGAAGCTCGATGCCGATTCCAGCAAGGAGGGCAACAACGCCATACGAACACAGTCTGTGCAATCTACAATGGTGCACACGCTCCTCAGGCGCATAAAGGCATGCCAGATGGCGGCGAGAGTGGAGGCGACGCTATACCGGGAGACGGAGCTGAGCATCATGCGTGAGATATCGGTGGTCAGGTCGGAGGTGCGGTTCATGATCCGCACCAAGAACGAGTGGGACATCAAGTGAGTTTATGTTTAACCTGTGTCGACCACTGTCTTGTTTTCATGTACTATGTCGACGCCGCCCTAAATACCCCTTACACTCGGCATTGTCGGCAGGAACTGCGCCGATCGGTGTCGCGGAACCATTGGCGATACCTACACCGCCGAACAGTTCCACCAGATCATGATCAGGGTGCTGCCGATGTGGGCAGCCAAGGCGTGGAACCCGTGGGGTACGGGCCCTTCGCAGACGCTATGGAGGTTTCTGCTGTTGAAGGTGCTCACGCTACTTTCCCACCACTCTCTCCAGCGCGTTGCAAGCATCCGCGAGATCACGCTCCCCGACATATTCTTGTACCGACTGGCGAGCACCTCGTCGGTGAACCCGGAGAACCAGCCAGTCCTCATGGTCATCGCTGCGTGGAACTCGAAGACGTCCAAGGATGCGCGTCTGCAGCAGAGCTACGCTGCGCGACACCTCGAAGCGGAGTTGTGCGCCGTCGGCGAGACAGGCCTGTGGTTGCACTTCATCCTCGACCAGATCGGCCAGTTTCACGGCGTCCGCCTCATTCCGCCGGTGGACACCAGCACACGAGCGAGCTGGTACAAGAAGCCCCTCTTCTTCGCAAAAAACGACACCGACCAAGGGGAGCTCTCCGCGGCAAGCCACCAACGCTGGACGCGGCAATTGTGGGACAAGAACGAGGTGTTGTGCAAGAGGAACGTGCACGCCGCTTGAGCAAGAGGGGCCCAGGAGCTGGCCATCGACGGCACGCCGGGCGCCGAGATCGCGGAGCTGGGTCACTGGGCGCTCGACAAGATGACGCGAGCGTACATCACCGCCATTCCGGTGGGGGTGGTGATGAAGAAGGCCGGTTACTCTGGTTACAAGCAGGACTACTTCTTGGGTCGGAGCAGGGTGCCGCCCTCGGAGAAGCTCCTGAAGCTCCTTGCCGAGCACAGCTTCCCCGGCGTCGACAAGCGTCGGGACCCGACCCAAATTCAGGCAGAGGTAAGTCGACGACGAGCTGGATGGAGGGTACTCCAAACCACCTCACAGCTAACGTCTTTGTCCTACCGCTGCAGGAAATCTCCGTCCGCTTGGACACCGAGTACTACAACATGTCCCTCAAGGCGAAGCTGACGAAGGAGATGGAGCGCGCCACGAACGAGAAGATTGAATTCCAGGAGGAGCTCAAGAAGCGCGACGACACCATCGCGTCGCTCACCGCCGAGATAACCCGTCTCACCGAGGCACTCCGTGTGTCAGAAGCACGGAGAGTGCCGGAGGCCCCGCCGTCGGCTACCGCGCAAGCTCCAAGCGAGGGTGGCTCGGCGGATTCGGCCAACACGGGAGCGGGAGCCGACAGAGGGGACGAGAAACCCCCGCCACCCTCACAGACGGACTAGGAGGCTAGTTACGAGCTCAAGGCGGTACAACCGTGGCGGGAGGCCAAGACCGTGAGGGACGCCTGGCGCCTCAAGAACTCCGCAACCGCCAATGATACCCGTCGTCTTTGCGACTGGGTCGCCGAGCCGGGCTTCGTCGACCGCCACACCCTCCTCAAAGGCGCGACGCAGGGTGCACTCAACATGAGGGTGTGCCGCATGCTGAAGGCCATGGATGCGGTGTGCCAGCTACGCGCGAGCGACGGCAATGCCAACACCAAAACCGTGGTTGATGCACTGAACAAGATCGCGGCACCGGGCATTGGGACCTTCTGCGATGCCCTCACGGTGCTCAACTCGGGAACGGCACCGACGTATTCCAAAGAGTCTGGCATGGGAGTCAAGGGGCTGGGCCCCAAGGTGGTCTCGAAGCTATGCCTTGCCTGCGCGCTTGTGGCGCTCAACCTGAAGCCGAGTTCTTGGGTCTCTGCCCTCTTTCCAGACACCTGGGAGGAGCAGACGCCGAAGACCAAGGCCGACCTGGCGAAGCCGACAGCACCTGCCAAGTCGACAGCACCGGCCAAGCCGACCGCACCGGTGCACCGTCCTTCAACCAAGCGGAAGAAGTCGGCATAAAGACACTTGTAAGATATGCTTGTGCGTAGTTTGATGCAGTTAATTGTGGCAGACTTAAGGTACTTTTTGGGTAGTTTGTAAACAACTCACAGCAAGGTCCTTGCAAAGCTACTTGATCCCGCTATGGTGAATGTTGTCAGGCGCTCAGTAAGAAACCGAAATACTATCCTTGTAGACAGCCAAACACTAGTCGATGTCAACATACTCGCCGGCAAAGCTCAGAGCCGAGTAGCATGTTTCTATGATGTCGGCGTATACGCCGACAATTCACGTCGCCGAGTTTAATGGGTTTAATGTTTCTATACCATCGTTGCCAGCTGAGTAGCATGTTCATATGATGTCGACATAAGCGCCGACAAGGCTCAGCGTTCAAAACGATTACCATGTTTCTATGAGGACAGTGTTTCATATCATCAAAATGTGAAGCAAATAGAATAAAAAAGATTTGTCCGCCACGAAGAAAAGACTCATCAAAATTGTCAACGAAATCGGCGCCGGCCTTACTCACATGATATACATACTAGCAACCAGAACACCTCCGCCCGCCGACTACCCATCCGTACTGTCCTTGACTTGCTTGCCCGTCTGCCCCCTCTTCCTCTTGCTGCCTTTGCCCTGCTTGACCTTCTCCCCCTTCCTCCCCCTATGCTCCATATCGTAGTCTATCTGCGCGTCGCACCGCACATCGATGCCGTGCTTTTTTAGGCTGGGCCCGGCGACGAGGCACATTCCCCAGAATACCAAGGTCTCGACCGTCGCTCTAGCGATCACGTCGGCCTCGACTCCCACGACTCCTTCCTTGAAGGCCCTGTCCACTGCCTGACCCTGCACCGCCAGTGCGACGTTCTGTGCAACCTCCCCAGCGGGTGCCTACCTTCTGGCCGAGATGCCGATCACCGCGTGCATCACCTTCTTGAAGTCCTTGGCCCTCCTCTCACCCGCGCCTGCCACCATCGCCGCCACCTTCCCTTCACCAACGGCATCGAGGACCAATGCCCCCGTCTCGATGAAGCACCAGAGGGCGCATGCGGAGGTCGCTAACACCTGGGCCGCCATCTCCGTCTTCTCATCCGTCTTCCCCTCTGATCCTTCCAACTCCACGTTCTCTCCAGCCTTCCCCTCCGCGCTCGCAGCGACCTTCCCAAATGCTGCGCTCGTCGCAACCTTCCCATACGCCGCGCACACTGACACGCAATTTATCATCGCCGACATGAACACGTCCGTCTCCGCCTTGCCCTCCTTCGTATCTGGAACGATGGGGAACCAGATCGCATCACCCGAACCCGTGTAGCGCACGTCATGAAGCGCATCACCCGAACCCATGTACCCATGGTACCGGCCGAGAGAATCGTCGAACCTGCCGCGCAGACACATTATAACGACACAGACGTCGTCAACATCAGCGCGATGACACGTTAATCGACAGCACTGGGCTTATCGGCATCCGACTTACCTTGCTTTCGGATGGCACAAGCCTCTGGCCCACATCACCGTCCACATCCCAGTCGGCAAGAACTTGACCTCCTCCCACACCTCCTTCCATTTCTCCAACTCCCCCGGCTTCAAGACGGTGAGCTCGTCCATGAGCACCTTGCTCACGAAGCCGTCGTAGACGACGTATGCAATCGAGTGCTCGTAGGCAAGCTCCATCTTCTCGCGCGACTTGTCGATGTACCGATTCTCGCCGTGTACCTTAATCTCGCCCACCCACCCAAGCCCGTCGCCCGACTTGTCGCGGCGGATGCCATGACCCCTGCGTTCATGCTCTTTCTTTCCCTCGCCGCCCGCCTCATCCTCCCCCTCTGCCCTCTCCTTCTTCTTCGCCGACTTACCCTTGCCGCCGGTCTTGTCCTGTTTCCCTTTTGCCTCCTTCCCTTGCTCTTCCGACATCTTCTTCCCCGCCGACATCGCCCGCGTCATCCTCTGAGAGGCGGCCTTCCCCTTCCGTCCCGCATTTCTCTCGGCAAAATCAGCCGTAGCAGTCGTCGGCTCCGCCAAACCCCCTCCGTTAGCCGCAGACAACCCCACATCCGCGGTGTCCATGATGGCCAGGGCAGGGGCGTGCTCGGTGCACTATGCAGCTTCAAAATGTGCCTTGATGGCAGCGATATCGGCGTGCCTGTCGGCTCGGCCGCCGGTGGCTAGCGCTGCACTCACACCCTTCTCCGCCGCCACATCAACCACAGCTACACCGGTTGTGGGTGCGGCCGCATTTACTGACGTTGGCGTCGGGCTTTTGCCCGATACCCGCTGAGTCAATGGTGGAGATGCCGCTTTGCGTGTGCCTAACTGGGCGCGCAGAAACGTGGACTTTGGGTCCACAGGCGGTCAGGCGGCGACAAGAGGTGCGGCAGGTGGGGCACCGGACAAGGTGCCGGCAACTTTCGGCGTAACGGAGCGACGTGCTGTTCCGTCAAGGCCAGCGTCGACCACGCAAGGCTACTGCACGTCTCTGCGATGTGCCTCCATGCGGGGGAGCAACTCCCTGAGCGCGCGACCACTGGCGGGCTCCTTAGCAGCTGATAGACCATCGCGCTTAGCCGCAGCAGCCTTCGCATCGCCCTTGGCGGCATATGTCAAACTCATATGCATATAGTCTGTGTAGGCTCTAGTGGGGTAGCTCATATGGGGTACAACACTTTACGGTTTCCTACTTGTACTCCTCATGCTGCTCAATGTATTCATTTTTCCTGCTGCTAGATTTTGACATGGTTTCATAGCACTAGGTCCGTAGGGCAGTTTTTTTTTTTCAGGCCCACCTACCGCTGCGGTTACCACGCTACCCCACGTGTTGTCCTATGTCTGCCTACCTTGCCTCGTGACATGCTGCGCTGCGCGCGCCGTCCTGCAGCCCTCGCGCTGCCTCCTGCTGCCCTAGGCCAGTGTGCCGCCCCTCCAGGCTAGTAAGGATCACGAACCACCCCTGTAGGCTCGTCAGGCCCCCGAGCCGCCTCTGCAGGCCCGTCAGGCCCCCAAGCCGCTCCTGCAGGCCCGTCAGCCCCCCGAGCCGCCACCTGCAGGCCACGCAGGCCCGCGAGCCGCCTGTGCAGGCTCGTCAGGCTGGCGCGCTGCCCCTGCAGGCCCTCCCCGCCCGCGCGCAGCCTCTGCCCGACCGCGCGCCGCCCCTGCAGGCCCTCGACGGCCGCGCGCAGCCATTGCCCGACCGCGCGCCGCCCCTGCAGGCCCTCGACGGCCGCGCACGGCGGCGCGCAGCCGTCGCCCGACCGCGCGCCGCCTCTGCAGGCCCTCGACGGCCGCGTGCAGCCTCTGCCCGACCGCGCGCCGCCCCTGCAGGCCTTCAACGGCCGTGCGCAAGCTCCTCCCGACCGCGCGCCACCCTTGCAGGCCCTCGACGACCGCGCCCTGCTGCTGACGCGGCCCTGCCAGCCCTGCAGCTGACGCGGCCGAGCCCTGCTGCTGACGCGGCCCCGCCAGACCTGCAACTGCCACGGCTGCCCCCTTACCGCCGACGCGGCCCTGCCTAGACGCTGACGCGGCCCCGATCTGCTGCTCGCGCGACCCTGCCCTACAGCTCCCGCGGCCCTACTCTGCAACCGTTGTTGCAGCCCCGCCGAGCACAGGCCATACCTGACACTGGTGAGCACCTACCTTGTTCGAGCGCTGCCGCTTGCCTGCCTGCTCGCCTGCCTGCCTGCCTACCTGCCGCGCCTGCCCGCCTGCCTGCCTCCCGCGCCTGCCTGCCTGCCTGCCGCGCCTGCCCAGGATGCGTTGTTGCTGCTATTACTGCTATTGCTACTGCTACTGCTACTACTGCTACTGGCGGTGGCCAGATGCAGCTCCAACGACGTCCGCGTGAGTCCCTCACGCCCGAGCAGCTTTGTGAGTGGTACATGTTGGTGTAAGGGCCTAATAAACTCAAGCTATTAAGACTTTATCACACTTAAAACCTCTCCTCGGGGTCACCTCCAAGGGTCCTTGGGTGCCTGGTACAAGACCAGCCCCTATCCTCGGGTCCGAGTTTGTAGAGAGAGGGATCAAGAGGGACTTAGTCAAAACAGCAAGAGTACCTTGAACGTCGCACAGCATATCGTGCAGACTGTTGATCGGATTAGCTGAGAATTTACTATATCGAAGCTCGCTCCAAGAGCTTTAAAATGAACCAAGTTGCCTCGCGAAAAGTTCTGCCATTACGAAGTTATGGCTCGGACAGCATTTGCCTAGCGTTGGAGTGCTAGCGTACTAGCGTTGACTCGGGTAGCATTCCGCCATCGCACCGCGTAGAAAGGAAATTCCAGCAAGGAAGCAATTCGCTTGAATCAATTTCACTATATTAAGGTACAACCAGAGAAGGAATAAATAGTTCTAGCTAGCAAGGACCTTGGGAATCAAACTGGGAACAACCAGGGATGGTCCCAAATAATTCCAAGCAACAGAACCAACCTGGCTGGACAAAATAGCAGGTGGTAGGTTGGTAAACAACCTCTGGTTCTGTTTTTCCAACCTGGGAAAACAACAACCAGGTTCAGGTCCTAAAAACAGAACCAGTTTTGTCTTTGCCCAACCAGCCAAATGCTGGTTCCGCTGGTTTCCCCTGGCCCTGTAGCATGCAGATACAGACAAACAACATCCAACCTTCACCTAAATTGTACCCCTATAGTGCCTGCCCGGCTACACTATAGTCAACCAAACAAAACAGTACAATTTCGAGTTGAATAGAACTGAATCTGCGCAATCAAGTAAGCTGAACCGCAAAGCATCCATCTTGGGTTCCTTTGCGAGCTCGTCCTTTCTGCTTGTACTGTTCATAGCGCGTACAATGTTGTGCCGAAGCGCACATTGTGCGAGTACCTGCAAATGCTTCAAACGAAAATTGCGAAAGCAAACAAACACACGAACATACCATTCACACGCAAATGCATTCGCACACGCATACTCGTACAAAAAGAAGGCAGGATGTAGTGCAATGTGAATTTGCATCCAACACACACCCCCTCAGCCTGCCGGCTGCATTTCCATCATTCCATGCTAGTCCATGCTCATTCCACTCATGCGCACACAACGCCAATGAGGCTCATCCGCAAGCCTCTTGGTGAGGAACTCTATTGGCTTCTGCACTTTCTGGATCTCCTTCATGCTACTACTGAAGAGAAGAATGTCGTCCACGTAGACCAGAAACAACACCAGCTTCTCCCCCTCCCCCTTGAGAAAGAGGCTCTCATCACAGCTGCTGGTCTTGAATCCCATCTCCTCTAAAACAGCTGCCAGCTTCTGGTACCAGCAGCGTGGCGCGTGCTTCAAGCCGTAGATGGACTTTTTCAGCTTGCACACCCTACCCGTACCATCCTCATACCCAGGCGGCTGCGTCATGAACACCTCCTCCTCTAAAATCCCGTTGAGGAATGCCGTTGATATGTCCATCTGGATAGTGAACTTCCCACCAACGGCTGCATCTGCCAACAAGACACGAAGGGTAGGGGGTTTGGCAGTGGGTGTAAAGATCTCATTGAAGTCCCACTTCTCCTTCTACATAAACCCCTTAGCCACCAACCTACTCTTGTAGATGGTGACCTGCCCCTTGTCGTCAGTCTTGGTCCTTAGCACCCACTTGCATTGTACTGCTTTCTTTCCCTTAGGCTGCACCACTAGTTCCCAAGTCCCATTCTCTCGCAGGCTGAGGTACTCAGCATCCCTAGAAGCCAGCCATTTGTCCCTATCTGGTCCAGCTAGTGCCTCCTCCATGCTAGCTGGTTCCTCTAGTGCAGGGGCAGGAAAACAGTATGCAGGCTCATCCTCCTCATTCGGGTCATAGCCATGCGGTAGAATCAGTAATGCCTCATCGGTCCCAAGCTGCTGCTCCGCTACATCAGCTCCTGCAGTCAGCTTCTTAGTAGCCATACGGGTACGTCCTGGCTTGGAGACGGGTGTCTCCCATCCCTTCATAACGACACCCTTCAGCTTCTTAATTTTCCCCTGCTGCTGCTCTCCCCCCTCAGATCCAGCAGCTCCACTAGTGCTAGTCTCCACATCATTTTCTCCACCAGCAGGTGCCTCTTGTACCTTCTTTCCATCACCACCCTCGGCAGCTGCCTCTTCTCCCTCTTCCCACACACTAGGAGTCAGGTCCAGCTGCATGGTGATCTGCTCCATTTGCTGGGACACCCTGGCCTCCGGATGTTTCTCCCAGCTCCCATACATCATGCCCTCAACAAACTTCACATCCCTGCTGTCAAACAACACACCCTTGGAAGGCTCCCACAGCAGCCATCCCTTGCTCTCAGCAGCCAGCCCCAAATGCACACACCAGATTGCACTCGCCCCCAACTTACTGCGGTAGGTCTTGGGGACGTGGGCGACTGCCATGCAACCGAACACCCTCAGCATGTCCACCGGCGGCTTCCTCCCAAGCCACCTCTCCAACGGCACCCACGAGTCATCCCCAACCTTTGTGAGTACCCTGTTCCTAGCGACGGTAGCGTGCCGAACAGCATGGGGCCACATGGAGTTGCCCAGCCCAGATTCTATGAGCAGCGCCCTAGCTGTCTCCAGAATTGTCCGGTTCGCCCGTTCTGCTACACCGTTGGACTGTGGGGTGTAAGCCGTGGTCTGCTCCCTCGGGATGCCCTGCTTCTTGAGCCAGGCCGTCATCTCAGCTCCAAGGAACTCACCACCCCGATCTGTCCTAATCCGCTTCACCACACACTCCGCTTGCTTCTCCACGAACGGCAGCCAATCGTCCCGAATCGTGGAGGCGGCGTGATCTTTCTGCTTCAGCGGATACGCCCACATTAGCCTGCTCCAGTCATCCACTATGGTTAGGAAGTACCGCTCCCCCTTGTGCCCTTGCACCGACAGTGGCCCCACCAAGTCCATGTGGACCAGCTCCAACGGCTTTTTGCTCCTGCCAGCCACACTATGGAAGGGGAAACGGGTGAACTTTGAAAGGAGGCAAATTTCACAGTTATCATCGGGTGGTTGTTCGTTCAACTTCAAGCCCTTAACGGCTCCATCCTTCTCCAGCTGCTTCAGCAAAGGCATTGCCTTATGCCCCAAACGTCGGTGTGCAGTTGCCCAATCCGTCTCCC